GAGAGAGACAGAGACAGAGACAGAGAGAGAGACAGAGAGAGAGACAGAGAGAGAGAGAGAGAGAGAGAGAGGAGGCCAGGGACAAGATGCCCTTCAAAGGCATTCCCTATTTCTTTCTCCAACCAGGCCACACCTCCCATCACCTACTAGTTATGCCATCAATAGATTAATCCCCCCATAGAACTATATGGTAAGACTCAGTTGCTGAAGACACCATACATTTAGGTTGAAGGACACAGAGAAATCAAGATGGAGCTCAGCTGGAGGGTTCTTCCCTGATGGCTGGCTTTCATAGTGCTGGAAGGTGCAATGCAGGCTGCTGGGGGACAAAAGCCATCAACAGTCTTACCCACCTGTTAACCCTGAGAGCTATATAATACCAACCTCCCAGGCAAGATGTTGGTGTGATAGTAGCAAGACTGTCTTGAAGGTAACCAGTTGCTTTCTGATTAAATTTGAGACCTGTGCTACAGAAGGAAATTTATGACTGGTACTATAAACCTTGTCAAAAACTCATGGACGGAAGGTCATAAGCCCTAGGGGAGAAACTACTACTGCTGTTTTGATAAATGAACATGTTGTCAAACTGCCTTCTAAACATGTGTGTTTATACCTATAGATTAGGAGCCCTTGGCAGTTAATGGCTGCTAGAGGAGGGGGAACCATTTTTCTTCAGTGCTGTAGCCATTGGTAAGTTGCCTGTGTTCCAGTAAATAACCCCACAGCTATGCTCATGGATACAATTCAAATTAAAGTCAGTGGATCATTAAAAAAGGGGAGGGGTCTGGAGAGACTGCTCAGTGGTTAAGAGCACTGGTTGCTCTTGCAGAGGACCAGGTTTGGTTCCCAGTACCAATAAATGGTGGCTAGCAACCATCCATAACTCTAGTTCTAGGAGATATGAAACCCTCTTCTGACCTCTGTGGGCACTGCACAACACAGGTGCACTTACATACATGCAGGTAAAACACGCATACACATAAAATCAAAATTAAACAAAGAAAAGAAAAAAACTGCATGAAAATAGGAGGGAGAATTTTGGAAAAAAGGGATCCAGAGGGAGTGGGAGAGGGATAAAAGAGAATAATAGAGGGATGGATGTGATCAAAATACATTATATACATGTTTGGAATTTTTCATAGATTAAATAAAAATGTTATTAAATAGACTAATCCATTGGTTAGGTTAGCGTCATCATGATTCAATCACTGAGAGTTATTGGATCTACCAACTGGGACTAAACTTTCAACATCTGAACTTTTTTCAAGGATTCTTCATATCCAAACTGTAACAAGTACATTCATGACTTTTCACTTGGGCCTGCAGGTGCCTGATGGGTAATTAAAGGCAGGATAAAGTTTGGCATCTCTGTCTTCATTTTGTATCGTTCTCTTACTTTGGGTCAGATTCCTGCTCAATTCTGCATATAGACATGTTAATCCCTTAAGGAGTGCCTATATAAAAACTGGCAATACAAGATTAATTAGCTTTAAATTTACTTATCTTACTTTCCTTCAATACTGAAAGCATCAAGACAAAAGCAACTAAGGCATTTTATTGCCACCTTTTAGAAAATCTATGTCTCTGACAAAGTATATGAAAGTCTCTAGTCCTTTTCTCTAAAACTGTAGTCATGCTGGATTCTAGGAATAGTCAAGTCTTGCAGGCAGATCACCGCATGATGAGACTGTGCCCAACAAGCAGGAGCAAGTACTCCATGACAGGAATGGAGAACATTCATCTCATGAAGGGAAGGAGCCCTTCATGATTGATTTCTTAAGTGATGATAGTGACAGTGACATCTCTGGAGGTGCCTGACAGAGCCAGAAAGGAGCTAATTATCAACCAGACTATACCTTGACATGGACTGCTTAGTTATGCATGTCTCTTGCCCCCTGCCTCATTTCTTCCTTTAGTAAACCTAAAGCTCATCACAGAACTCCCAAAGACAGGGCTCGAATGCATTGATTTCTCTTTTCTCAATATATTGATTGAATTCCTTTCTTACCATTTTTTTCTTTTCAATGTATATTTTTATTGATTTTTTTGTGCATTTCATATAATACATTTTAATCATATTTAGATCTCCTTCCCCTAACTGCATTCCCCACACCTCATAGCCTGCCCACAGGATTTCATGCATTCTGTCTGTCATATATGCTAAGGCTAGCGAGTCAAGTTTTATACCAGATGTCCCTTGGTGTGAGTTCATCCACTGGAGCCTGTTCAACTTATCTAGCATCACTCCCTAAAGATCAGCTGTCCCTCACCCAGCAATGATTAGCTGCCAGTAGTTCCTAGGCTAAGACTGGGGACTTCTGTCCATTTCCCCAGTTGTGTAAGCTGTCACTATTGTTGTAAGATCATATAAGCAAGTTCCCAGAAGCCTGGAAGACTCTCTTTCCTTATGGTCATGCACCATCCCTGGCTCTTACTCTGTTTCTGTCCCTTCTTCTACAATGGTCCCTAAGCC